TGCCCAAGTTTTACACTTATATTGGTTAGAAAACCTAAATATAGCCCGTTTTCTTCCCCTACGACTTAAATTTGTCATCACTTTCTATCTGTTCCATTAATTGTTCATTTCTCGGCTTTTCTCTTATTAATTCCTTGTTTTTTGCATTTTTAACGGTTGGAACTGGATTGTGAGGCTGTGACTCATCGGTCCAGGCAACCGATTTCCAACTAGTGGGTCACGGGTTCGAACCCCCTCTGCCTATCGAGGTTAGGACAGTTAGGTAGTAGCATTACCCTGCACATAATAAGTGTGGCTCACTGCCTACTGCACAGAGATGTGTATACGTGGTACCTGAGCGCATTTCGAATTCAATGCCTACTGGATATAGGCTTCTTTAAGTGCGAATTCGTTTTCTACATCAAAATGCACACATTTTCTAAGATTGTCTAGTTTTTCTTATTCCATCATCTTTCAGTCTACTTTTTTAGAAATATTTAGTTTAAACGCTCCTAATTTAAATTTTAAATTACTGATCAATAATGGGATTGCTATCTATTAACTATAACTCACAAAATATACATTCAATCGATAAATGTGAAAACGTTATGATGCATTCTGGGCACTTGACTGATTCATTACTCCATAACCGTGTATTAGCTACGTATCTCCTTGAGAGTGTTATTGATTAGCCCTGAGGTGTTTGTATCACCAGCATCTCTAAGCAAAAAGGTTTAATTGTTGTAAATCAAGGAAGAGGAAATAAGTCCTACAAGACTACTAATGAACATAGATAACTACTGCTGCAGTCTACCGTTGTGATAGTAGGAGAATCCAATTTCATAGTTTTCAGGAGCTGTGGTTATTGGTTTGGGGTTCGAGCTTTGCTGCATCTACCATTGTTTTGGCAACCAGGTAGTATCCACTATCCGTCATATACTAGGTGTGTGGCTCATTGCCTAGTCCACTGATGTGCACCACGTGGCTGAGTGTGTTTCGTCTTCGTACTACACTTCAATGACAAACTGCATGTCATTACCGTAGCTTATAGATTGCGAAACCCCAATGGAAATCATACTTTGAAAGAGGTTTCTTAAATTAGGTTCAGACAAATAAACGAGCAATTCTTGTTATCTTTGCACCAATAAGCATATAACTTCGCCTGACTACCAAGTTGTACAAAACCCGGCGTATTAGCTACTGTTAATAGATGAGAGTTCATGCGATCACACTATTCTCCATATTGTTGTCATGTTGTGTATAACATACTATTTCAATTGCCATAACTACTAGACGAAATCTAAAACGATGGTTAGAATGATTTTAAAGGCCATCCTAACAACTGCTCAAATAACCAATCGATTTTTCCGTATTTCGACTGGGAGGATATTTTTTGAGTGACTTTAAAGGCCACCATAACAACAACTCGAGTAGCCAATTGGGTTTCTTTATTTCTGCTAGGACGACAGATTTTAATGAAATGGAGAAGTCCAATTGGCTGTTTCAGTTGTTTCTGTTAGGGTATCTTAAAATCACCTTAACGGTTGGTAAGATATGAGTGTATATATCAATTGGCGCGTAATGAGAAGGCTTGTTACAACTTAGCTGGCCCATCGGTTTATGTCCATCTTTATTTAAGTGTTTTATGCACGTAAGTCAACACAAATATGAGTAATCAGTTTGCGTATTATGACGGGATAATACCCTAAAAATTCGCTGGTGTTATTCGAATATCACTCAATAAATTCTTGTAGTGATAGTAGAAAGTGGAGTCAGACGTGAGTCATCGTTTTCAATGCGTTTAAGCTTTTTTACATAGGGCTGCCACTGCAATCAAAACTCCAACAATTTTTTTAAAGGGATATTGAAGAGCGGCACATAAGTTTATGAGTGTATGTGTGGTCTAGTGCAACACCTATTTCGATCATTTATCCCATGACTCATATTCTAAACATCGATTACAATGACAACCTATGTACTTTCTGATGTCTCTAAAGCCCAACTAAGCAACAACTGAAATAACAAGTTAGGATTATTTATTTTATAAAAATCTGCCGTCCTAACAGAAATAGAAAAACCTGATTGGTCGTTTCACTTGTTGCTATGGCGGCCTTTAAAACCACACATATTTTCGACGTCGAGCAACAGAATAAGTTTAAGTGACTGACTTTAAGACCACCCTAGCAACCACTGAAATAACCTGTTAGACTTTCCTATTTTATGAAAATCTACCATACCAGCCGAAATAGAGAAGCCTGATTAGTCATTTTGACTGTTGCTGCGGTAGCCTTTAAAGTCACCCTAAGGTTGGTAGTATGACAGAATCTGGTTTTATTTATCTTCAAAACACCTGACCTTGACACTTGGTCGTAGCTCCTAGCTTAGGATGAGTTTCGTGAGTCGTGGAAACTTCTAAAGGCCACCATGACGAACTCTGGAATAACCACCAATTAGATTTCTAACTTTGGTTGGGCAGGGGCGACTTCAAAGGCTAGCCTAAGCAACGATCGAAATCAGCAATGGATTTTCTCAATTTTGGCTGGAAAGGCAGGTTTTCACGACGTAGAGCAGTCTGATTGGTTATTTCAGTTGTTGTTAGGGTGGTCGCTACAGCAACTCGTTGGGAAGACAGCTTTCCTTTATAAAATGAAGCCCGATTTATTGTTGCGGTATTTTGTAAAACTGGCCTTAGAGCCACCGTATCGGTGGGTGAATGCTTTTCTTTATGTATATATATATATATATATATATATATATATATATATATATATATATATATATATATATATATTGGAAGTATGCCTTGACAGCCCAAATGTTTGACAGAAACATTACGAAGTGTGCAAAACTGAAAAAAAGGTGACTTTAAAGGCCACCTTAGCAACTTCTGAAACGACCAATCAAGCCTCGGTTTTTCTCCTGGGAAAATACTTTTTAATAAAAAGGGATGTAATTAGCTGTTTCATCGGTTGCTAGGGTGGCCTTTAAAGTCACCGGAAAAAAGTCTACAGTTGGGACTTAACAACGAATAATGGGAATTTACCGGCTGCTACACCATCCCTTTATGCATAAAATAACTCAAACTGGAATATCATTCAAAACCTCGAGGTCATGCCACACTGCCATAATAATGGCAGAAATGTATTCATCAACGCCCATGTGTGTTGAGATATTCTTTTTCATAGCATGTGTTTCGTTAATCGTAGAGGTTGTAACGCAATTATTTCATAGGCGTTACAGGGGAGTTTTATTACTGTCATGTTTATCCGTATAAGTATAGACTTTAGAGAATAAGGTCCTACATAAGTTTATAGAATTGTTGTCATCACCGGAGGTGCATGCATTTTCTCTCAGTAAATATTGCCTTAGGTTTTGAATAATTTCTACAGCTACATCGTCAACATCCAGATAGCTTAGGGGCTGTATGACACGTAATAATGTCATAACATGACTGACTGTTAAGCATATCCTGTTCAACATAGTAACTATTTAGCATATTTTGTGACAGTAGTTCTCGAACTGTGCGTATCGCGAAATTGAGTGTTAAAAGATTTGATAGAAATGGTATCTAAATCCGACTGAATTTAGTCAAGTGGTCAGCATAAACTCAAGGTGAAGTTCCAGATTTTTTGAAGAATCGTACACAGAAAAGCAAACTTTATTCAGTAATCCTAGTCATTTTATGAATGTATATGGTTGTACCAATGAAACCTAACTGAATGACTGACTGAGAAAATCAACGTAGAACCTCGCACACATGTGAATCAGCTCAAGTTGCCAAACTTCACAGTAGTACACAAAGAACAGGTGAATAGAAAAAGAACGTTATCAAAGTAGGTGAAGTTGTGTAAGAGAACAAACGATGTGAAGATAAAGGTTAGTGCAAACACTCAAGATTTAGATGTCAAAAAGTGCATACATCTGCTCCATTGTGACCAGTTTTCAGCCATGTCAGGAAAAGTCAGTTCTCAACTACTGATTCCTTTCGTTTTGGTGACCCCATCCAGGTAGTCTACATTTCCCCAGACCGATGAAACAGCGAGTCTTATTAAGAAAACTCCATAAACTACAATGAGACAACAACAGCTCACTACTTCCTCGGTTATCTACTTGGTGTAAGTTCATTGTATAACAAAGTTTAAATGCGATTCCGTTGTGAGTTATTAGCTATTTTAGTAAATATCTCTGTCAGCTACAAATGGAAATAATTTAATTCATCATTTTTGGAAAGCTTATGGTTTTTGTACCAGATTTGTTAGCTATGTGGACTAGTAGTTTTCATCATTTCACGTCTATGGGGATTGCATTACAGGTTAAAATAAGATGATGACATCGTAAGACCTCACAATTAATGTTTCCTTAACACCCTAATTGATGAACACCCTTATTAGAATACATAGTTACGTTTTATTATTTTGTCTTGAATGTTTGTTTCGTGTAACGCACAAATTGTTGTAATACAGCATTATGGGGGAATTAATGACAGTGTATTTGAATAGCCTACCAATAGTTGTTTTTACTCTCCTATGATAGCCATCTAGTTTCGTAACTGAACTTATTACCAGCCTCATTTTTCTCTTATATCACCGAGTCAATTAAAAAAACTTATTATCTTCCAATTAAGTTAGTTTTTAAAATGATTGGTTGACTAGCCAATCAGTCATTTAAATTCCCTATAGAGTTTCAATTCCCAACTTGTTGTCTTGACAACTAGTCTTGTTAGATTAATACTCTTGGGTATAAATAGGGTTAAATCAACAAGATTTAATATGTGACATGTCTTCTCGTGATTCAATGACTTTATTCATCTTATAATAATGTGATTTGATAGTTAGATGAAGTCAACTCTAAACCTTCATGATGTAGGCATAGCAACCAGCAAGTTTTTTTTTTTGCTTTTTCTACATATTTAATGAGTTTTATAAAACTTTATTCTTAGTGATGGTTAGTTGTGTGAACGAATAATTTTTTGCTAAAAAGAAATACACTTTATTTTGTTTGTTTACTATTGATTTCGATAGTCCAAAATGGAGTCAAGCCAGTCAATAAGGATCTGGGACCGTTAACTTTACCACCATCAGCATTTTCAGCAAGTTCTGTATACCAAAACAAACCTGAATATCAGCCACACAAAGCTAAGTAAGTTTCTTAATGAAATATCTTATTTACACTGCGCATTTTTTGTTCTTGTTACTGATCATGTCCATAATGTATCAACATTATTATTCATTTACGATGCCATTTGATTTCCTCCCTAAGTTAATTGAAATATTCAATAGTTTGTAATGAAATAGTTATCCTTATGCTTTGCGCAGATATTATTTACGTTTCGTGTTATGGTAATTCTGAGTTTATCTCAATGGTAACGTGCTAGCCTTGGAACCGGAAGGTCTTAGGCTGGGTCCTTGGCGGAACGGTGTCATGGGTGCTCACTACTGAAGAGTTTTATACTAGGGCGAAACAATTCTCCAGTCGTCCCAGATTTCCGATGTTTCTCCAACATGCCAGTCCATGATGAATACCCTCCTGAAATGAATAAAATCATCACAAGCCTCTAAACTGAATTTATTTACAGTGTTTGCCATTGTGTAGTCCGTTCTTTATTTGAACTCTGTAATAGTGATGTTGTGTTTTATATGTGAATTCACTTGACTTGGTTTATGTCATGGTGAGTTATGCAGTGTCGAGCACGAGTATGTATAAGTTGTGTTTTCAGTTCCCCTGCAATGATTCCATCAGCTTACGCTATAGTTGACAAGATGTATCCTATTGTAATATCGTATGTTTACAGATAAATGCTTTGAGTGTGTTTCTAACCGGTACCGGTGATTGGTATGAGTTTATACACTGAACCATGGTAAGGAACAACGTTCACTTTTGAAGATTGACCTTCATTTCAGTCTACACAATACCCTTGATTATTCCAATTGATCTACCTTGACATGTTTTTTCTTTCCAAGTTATTGGAAGTGAGAGGCATAATTCATGGTGGAGTTTTGATATGACTACGAAAACTCAGGTGACAATCTAAAACAATGATGCCAATTTACTTGGAAAACGAGGCTATAATTGAATCACTGATCTAGTCAGTTTTTTTGTACTCAGTATTTCGTAGCCCTGCTCTGTCAGTGAGATTGATGTACGGACGTGTTTACTTGTTATGATAGTGATTAATTATTCGACTATTTTTCGTGAAGTCCAACAATAAAAGCCAAGCAGGTAGTGTATCAACTAATAAAACTTCAAAGGTTAATCTAACTGATAATTCCTGGTACTATACAACCATGTGAGGAAATATTTTGAATCATTTTACAAGTATACCTTTCTGTCTTGAATTCTCATCTCTGTATATCATTAAAAGTACATGCAGCTGGATAGCCAAAGTATCCCGTTATGTACTTCAATACTTTCAAATTCGTATATATTCTTGACTTTATCAACAAAGCAGTATGTATATAATGAGCTACCAGTGAACTGACAAATTAGCTTGCTGGTAAAATACTTTATTAGAATAAAATTTGTTTTTAAACTGAAAGAAAAACTGTCCTAATTAACTAGTCTTTTTCTGTGTCTAATTATATTGTATGTTTCTTCACATGTCTGATTTTCTAAACAACAGGGAACGAGGATTGTTTAACTGTGACTGAAGAAAGAGTAATCATGGTAAGGTTGCAGAATTCGGATAGGCTTTACGTGTAAAGTCATTAATTTTTCAGCGCAGAATCAACCTCTTCAAATTCCTATATGCTCCAAGCTTTTCAGCTCAATTGAATTTGTAATTAACTAAAAATGTCTTATTTAGCTGTTGAATCAGCTAAAATCAGCGTGGAGATCTACTGCACTCCACTCCACTCAGCACAAAGCGTCAACATCATCCGGATTTTCAACACCAATCTCAGTCAAGTCTGTGCTTCTATGTGATGGTTCACAAACTTGCAGCGTCACGAAAACCACTTCAAACATACTACAGACATTCATCACATCAACAGCTGCCACCTACGCTCACTCGATATTGAAGATGAAGATCAGATGGCCAGGATGGTAATAATGAGCAACAAGGAACTCTGGCTGGCTGGCTGGCTGGCAACGAAGCAATCAAGGACCTATCAACCAACAAATATGCAGAAGGAAGTGGAGGTGGGTGGATTGGATTGGACATAGACTGAGAAGACCATTTGGAGACATCATGCACTAGGTCAGGCCGTCGAGTGGAACCCAAAGGGGAAACGACAAGTTGGGCGTCGGAGGTAAGGGTGACATGGATGAGATCGTGTGAGGATGAAATGGAAGCCTATGGGGAGTCGTGGAGCTAGGTCCAAAAGACTGTAGAAAACAGAGTGAAATGGAGACGTGCTACTGAAGCCCTGTGTTCGATTAAGAACCCAGGGGGAAAATAATATAATAATAGCTGTTAAAAGTATCATCCAAAGTCGAAGTGGGCTTGATGTGAGTTTCATAGAGGAGTTTCCAGATCCATTGAATTCCATGTGCTTCTACCTAACTAACACTAGACAAGAAGAATCTCCTACCATCCATTCGACTACTGATAAGCACCGAATACTATCTAGGACTAAAAACCTATATGTATCACCATTACTTAATTTAGAATGACGGCATCTTAGGTGTTAAAGTATCATTGTGTTCTAAACATTTGAAGATGCCCATAACGTTAACAAAAAAAATTTGCACGAAGAATGTTCTTTTCAGTGAGTATAATCTCATCATGTTCTACAATTCTAAAATGCGTTTGTACAGCGTAAAAAGAAGCCAAGCTAGGGGCTGATATATCTTCAAAATGGACTGAGATTTACGGACATATATACAGACGAATAATATGATGGTGAAAAAAAAGAACCTTAGTCGAATTAGATGGCTTGGCCATGTACTGCGGATGCCGAACCAGCGCCTACCTCGACGTGCTGCCATACTAGTAGAAGTTGGGATAGATCAGAAAAGGGTTGATGGTGGCCAGACAAAGACGTGGCACTAGTCGACGAAATCTCACTGTTAATCTGTGTCATGTGGGAAGATGTAAACTACCTGATTGGGGTTCCCGAGATGTAAGGAATCGGTGATTGAGGACTGACTATTGATGAGATGGCTGAAATCGGTCATAATAGTGCAGATCTATTCACTCTTTGACATCTAACGCTTGAATATTCACACTAACCTCTGTCTTAAGGTTGTTTGTTCACTCACATTACTTTATCTTCTTTGATGTTACTCTTTTTCTGTCCAGTTGTTTTTTATATACTACTATGAATTGTGGCAACCTGAACCAATTCACTTGTGTATGAGATTCTACGTTGATTTTGTCAGTCGATCGGTCAGTCCTTCGATTTCACTATATTTTGAAAGTCCTAGGTAGAGAGAGGTAAATAAATGTGCTTGAATGGTGTTGTCATAGTAGTGAACTGTAAATGATTATTCTCAGCATATTCATTGTTCAATGAATTCCATTTTACTTAGGGTCATCCACTTAACATGTTGTATATCGTTAATGTTTCACAAATGCAGTTAATCCTAGTCATCTACCATGTAAACTGACTTTATCTCCTGAATCTCTAGCCTTTGGTTATTACCATCTAAAGTGTACGCTATCTTTGTATATAGCATCGGAGTTCTTTTTAACAGCATAAGGTATTTTACAAATGAATATTTTGTTTTGTTCAGTTTCCATTTGTTTAAATTATTTCTAGTTTTAATTTATGTTACATTTTATTTGTGAACATTTTTTGGGGGAATGTGTAAAATTTATCTTTCAGATAAATTCTAGGATAGTTTCTGTTAATTCCCTTAGACTGTGAATTCTTTTATGCCTTATTGTATTTTTACCGTCTACTAGAAATAGCTTGATTTTCTCATCTGTTCATTTTAAGTGTCCTTTGTGTTTTTTTATGAGTGATAGAAGAGAGTTTGTTTGTTTGTTTGTTTGTATGCGCCTAGTTGTCTTATGTATTATGACTCAATGTCCTTGATTTCTGTCCTCTTTTGTTTCGAAATTTAATGGACATCACAATAAATCATATTTTTACATCAATTATTTTGACCTGAAACCAACTGTATGAAGAAATAGAAGAAGTTTTGATTAACACATTATATACATTCAGCAACAACAAGTGTGTTTTGTTTTGATGATGTGTTATGGCAGATTTCTGTATGAATGCAACGTAAACGATTGTTTTCTTCGCTTCATTTTCAAACCTTTTGATATTGTTATTCTGAAATCATTTCCCACTTTTCACACCTTTAAATTAAGTCAACAGTTGGGAAGAGTGCTTACTCCTGAAGCAAAACCCTTAGAGAAAAGGCCAACTCAGTTAAAACGATGCTTATAGTGTGCTTTCTTGAAGGTTATGAATTGTTTATTTTGAGACCTAGTATACTAGTTATCAGCTTCACTCTAACTATCTACATGGTTTCTATTCTAAACTTGTTAGTCTGCGAATCATGAACATCATTTTCAGCTTTTCCAATTTACTTGAGTCACTCAGTCAGTCACTATCCACTTGGGACTGAACATTATTACGTAACTGTTGAATTTGCCACATTTCACTTCAATGTGGAGTAACAGTCAAGATGGAAGATAGAAAAAGAGAGGATAACGTAGTCAAAATAAATAGAAAATCAGAAGGATACAATCGAAGGGGATGAAGATAATGCTTGAATGCGTATCTGCACCACTGAGATCGATTCTGAGTCGTATTGCCTAGAGTTTGCAATCGTTGATTTCATTTATTATAAGAACCTCAACACGGAAATTTATATTTCACTTTGCGGCTCAGAGACTTCATGAACTCATAACACTTTTTAATCTGATTACCTTCAACCTTTTTTCAACCTAAACACCAAATTTAGTTAACATTGAAAACGTGGTAGATAATGACTAGCTTTACTTAGCATGTGTACCAGCCATCTATCAGAATTAGTGAAAATTCACAGCCTCATAGACTAACTTACTTTTTCTCCTTTCCTCCAACATAGATGTTACTGACTTAGTCGTTCCACGAAACGCAGGCAATGCTACGGAAACACTGTCAGTCAAACACCTGAAGCCTTCTCATGTCTTCCACTTTTAATGACCATATTTCACAATCTGATAGTAGAACTGCATTGCAGAGCACTCCACCCTTAGTAGG